TACACGCTGCCAAACCCAACCTGCAACTTGTATTTTTTTGGCGTTCCATTGCTTTTTTTTGTCTTAGCCTTTGTGTTTCAGATCGCTCGATTCCTTCTCCATCACATTTTTTCCCCAGCGCTGTTAATCAGAAGTGGATGAATGCATGCAACCACCCTGCAAAAAGTGCATGCAAATCTGCATTGCAGGTATCTATTAAAGTCCAAAATAATATATATAATAGTAATATCTACTACAATAATACATGTAATATGGCATTAATACACACAAACATATGAGAATTTGCATTGATGGTGTTCAAAATTATATATCCATATATAAAAAGAATATCTACTATAATAATATGTGTTACAATATTAATATAATATATACATACACACAAATATGCACAGTAGATATCATATAGAAGTCCAAAATTATATATAAATGTATAAAAAAACCTGCTGTAATAATATATGTAATACATTAATAATATAATATAGACACACACACACAAAATCTGCATTGCAGTTGTCATATATAAGCCCAAAGTAATATATACAAAAGTAATATCTACTACAATATATGTAATATCATATTAATATAAAGTAATATATATACAGAAAGAATATCTACTACAATAATATATGTAATATGATATTAATATAATACTATATATACATAAAAACCTGCATTACAAATGTCATACACACACAAAATCTGCATTGCAGTTGTCATATATAAGCCCAAAGTAATATATACAAAAGTAATATCTACTACAATATATGTAATATCATATTAATATAAAGTAATATATATACAGAAAGAATATCTACTACAATAATATATGTAATATGATATTAATATAATACTATATATACATAAAAACCTGCATTACAAATGTCATATAGAAGTACAAAATCGTATATAAGAAAATAATGTCTACTATAATCATATATGTAATACAATATTAATATAAGAATATATACACACAAAAACCTGCATTGTGGGTGTCATGTCAAAGTCCAAAATAATATATATCTCTAACATAAACGCTACAATTATAAGAATATATTAATAAGCATGTGGTGGTGTTTTGCAAGTATCGTGAGATTATTTGTGTCTGTATGTATATATACAAGCATGCACAAATCTGCATTGCAGGTGTCATATAGAAGTCCAAAGTATTACATATATAATAATATCTACTGTAATAATATATGTAATATAATAGTAATATGATGGTAATATCATAATATACACACACGAAATCTGCATTGCAGGTATCATAAAGAAGTCCTCAAGAATATATGTATTATAATTATATGTACTATAATAATATATACAGTAGAATAACAATATAAATAATATAGGCACAAAAAATATCTGCGTTGCAAGTGTCATCTAGAAGTCAAAAATAATTAAATCAAGTAAAATCCCACTTTGTTCTCTGGGTCATGACTTGGTGTGAAGCTGAGCATCCTCCTGGTGAAAAAATGAACAGTCCACCCATCAAATCCATATCCCTCCAATTTAGAGACAAGGATATTTATCCTTCAAGAATAAATCACTCATTATTTACTCTTACTCCCCATTTTTGCATCATTTAGCTGCTCACAGTGGTAAATATCTCCAGTCTTGCTCCTCCACTTGTGCTGCAAATCGTGTAAATGAGGATGCGCATTTAACATTACCAGTGAGACACAAGTGATACTTCCTAAATTACCTTGTATGCGTGTACACAAACACCTTTTTTAAATATTCTCAGTATAACAAGTGGGTATCCAAGAGCTGGTAAACCTGGCTTAATCCTGGCCTTGGCCTTCTTCAGGAGGGATTACAGACCATAATATCAATATTAACCCTGCAAGATGGGAGGGAGTGAAGCTTTCCAAAGTGCTTACACAGCACAAAAACACTTTGCTGAAGCTTTTCGACTCGCGTGCTGCTTTCTACTTTGGGCTGCGAAGGAGAAAACTGTGGTTTCTTGAATTACATCACAATTATAATATTTGTAATAATAGAGATGCAATATAAATAGCTTTATGGCAGAAGGGAAATATATGGGTAATGAATGAGTGCGACCTGCCCTGGTTTTTCATTCTGGTTCGTGCAACCCTTCCCTCTCTATAACATCTGGTTTTCATCTGCTACAGGAAAGCCAAACAATTTCAATAAAACTGGGAGAAAACCTAATGCTTTGAAAAAAATCCCAACATATTGATGGTTGCCTGGTTTTCAAGTGGAGTTATTAATTAAATTTATCAGCCTGGGTTATTGACAAGGTGGATGCTGGCTTGGATGAGTAAATGCATCATCTGACAAAGGACACAATTCCCATTTAGCAAGGTCGGAGCGCTGCCTTTTTCCATCCAAAGGTCTGAAATAATAAATAATGTGGTTATTTTGAGGTTACTCTGATTTTGGTTGCATCCCTCAGCTGATATCTGGTGATGTTGCTGATCAGAGCAACCTTGTTTCAGTGGGACTGGTCGCATTTGGTCAAGGATTAAGCACGTGGCAATATCTACATCACATTAGCCTGTGACAAAGGTGCATTTCCTAAATTGTTGAATACTAGATATAGTGATATAAAATAATTCTATAATATATATATGAGATACATTAATAGAAAATAAATATATAACAGCTGTGAGATCTATAAGGATAAAATAAATATAATATATATGAGATATATAAACATGAAATAAAAAATATTATTTTCTTTATATCTGTGCTTCTAAATCTGATTAAGCTTGTTGTTTAGGTTAATTATTAAAGTTTAGAGGTAGCATAGGTTAGTGTCTGCTTAATCTCCATCACATTAGCAGCCCCCCTTAACTAAGTTTTTAAATTGCACTTTATTGATCGTCAGGCTTTTAAAGAAGTCCATAAGCTCTTAGTGAGGGCTTGGTGGCGTGCAGATAAGTATTTGTATTGCTACGAGTGGAATCGATCCGAGCAGTTGAGCACTCGAGGAATATTTAATAATTTTTTTTCCATTTAGGCTGTAAAACTTGCGGATCATTAGATCAGCTGCTCTTGCCTTCACTGACTTTTTGTTGCTGTGAAAGCTTTGTTAAGATATAATTATGAGCAACCAAAATATTTCTGGTTTTCTGTATTAATCACATCTGTTCAGCAAGAGAAATGTAGCTGAGAGAAGTTTTTTTAATAACTAGGTCGTCTTAGCTGCTAGCTTATTAAGGCATAAAGAATCTGTGCGAGCAAATATTGAAATCTGTAGGAGCCAAAAATTTGCATTTTGACTTTAATAGTTGTAATTTTGAAATTGCTTTACGGTTAGCACGTCAAAAGATCTTAAGTGCTAATTTTTCCAGAGAGTTTAATTAAGTTTCTAGCTTTCAACTGGAAATTCAAAAAGTAAAATAGGTTTGAAGTTACTCTTAAGTAAAAAGTAAAATAGGTTTGAAGTTACTATTAAGTTTTGTACTTTGAGAGAAAACACTGTATTTCCATTTATTTGACTTGATTCAAACCACATTGGATTTGATTTCACTCCAGACTGCCAAATCCACGTTTCATTTTGCTTAGGAACAGAATTCCTTCAGACAAGGATGCGTGATTGAGATAGAGCGCTTTCAATTGCTAAAAGTGTTTTCAAATTAATTACAGAGGTATTTTATTTTTACCTTTGATATCTTTGTTTTCTAAGGCGGCACTGGAAGAATTGCAGATGTAGGAATAATCCCCAAACCACTTATACCATATATTTTTATTCTGGTTGGGAATAGGGTCTGTGTGTATTTATGCCACGTGTACTGGGGAGCAGCAGAGTATAGATGGGAGCCTCTTAAGGTGATGTTGATGCTGAGCACTGCTTATTTTCAAACTCTGAGTTTTTTGGAGCTCCTTAGCACCAGTTCCATCCTTCTTGTTCCCTTTTTGCTATAGTCCCCAGTAGCGTTGTATTTTTTTTTTTCTGTGCCTTGTTTCAATTTCCACTTGGATTTTAATTATTATAGTAACTTTAGATGAGACAGTTGATGAATTTTTAGTAGATCTCATCCGCCTGGATGTCATCCAAAGGGAGAGAAGGGGAGGAAACAGCAGAAAAAAGGAGAGATGACCAGGGTAATAGCCTCACATATCGGATGCCGGATACAGTGTGACCAAAGCCTTCCTTCTGAAAGCGGGCCAGCACGAGGTAAGACAATTGTGCTGCTGTTCTCTTCAGGAGTTATAAACAAGAGGATGAGGCTGAGCAAGAGAAAGAGGCTTCTTTCTGTATTTTTCCTTTTTGTCAGTTTTTAGCTTCCTTTTCCATTCCTCCGCCTGAACTGCAGGCAGAGCTATTTCGAGAAGAATTTTATTTTTTAATGTAATATTTTACTTGCTGATTAAAGAATAAAGAAATACATTTAATACCTTCTCTTTAAGGATCCAAACAAAACCCTTGTTAGCTACCACTAATGGTATTTTTATTTGGGATTTTATAAAGCTGCTTTGAGTGAGCAAGTGGAAGCAGCATCCCCATCTTTCCCATTCAGGGTAAATCGACGTGCTCCATCAATTTCTGCTACAACCTGCACACATTTTTTTTTTTTTTTTTAAGTGCAAAAAGGAAACAGAATAATAAGCAGCTTTAAAAAATAATAAATTGACATGATCTCCACTTTCAGGATGAGGGATTATTTGTTATTTAAGGGAGATATCCTTCCACTCTACCCCTATAAAATCTTTCCAAATTGCTTCATGCTGAGACATTTTGACTGTACAAGGACTATGCTATGACCACTTGAGTGATCATCATCTTGGTGTTCTCACTAGGTTCAGATTTGCGTGATATATAATGAGAATAAACTGTCAGTATTAACTTTATAGCTCTATGTATGGAGTAAAGGTTTTAGAAGTGGATAATATGGGATTAAGAAAGTAAGATCTGGATCTAAGATACCTTCCAGCCTTTTTTTCCTCTCTAAGATGTTCCACACATGCTCTAGTTTGATTAAAATCATGTGAACAGTCATCTGTCTTAATTGAAGGGAGATCCAAGACATCAAAACTATGTGTTTTGGTGTGGTGTCCAGTGTTCTTTGTTGAGAACAGAAAAATGATGTCTTGAATCAGACATCATGAAGTCATGTTCATCCTCTGGAAGCTCTATATCATGTAAGGGTGGTATGGATAGTAGCTGGAGAGCTGGGGTTGTGCCTTTGAGCATCACTCTCCTACCCTTGGTCCTGCAAATGCTGGTTCTTGGTTCATTTTTACAACCAAGTGTATTAGTAATGACCTCCTCTTTATTCTGATATGTTCCTGCTTCTTAGGTTATCACCTGCTTCCAAATAATAGGTGAAAATGTGTTTTTCATATAGGTTATAAATTGTACCTTGCCACTCAGCACAGTTTTGGTTTTGCCCTTCATTTTTCACATCCCTGTGCTCCTCTGGTTAAAGATTCTTTTTTCCCCATTTTGTTCAATTGATGAATCTCTTGCTAAAATCAGAAGAAATACTCAGAACTTGTCCTTGAGCTTTGCAGTTTGTCTCAGCCTGGCAGAAGATATATGTACTCAAAAGCTTGTTGGGTTTTCCAGCTATTCCAGTTAGTCTGGTTAGAGAAAACCTTCTGTCTGTCTACAAAATTTGTCTCATCTCTATCTATATCCCATCACAGCTACTACGGTACCAGAATCAGACTGTGAATTTTATTTGCTATGTATTTACCCAGAATTACCAAAAGGCTTCCTCCACACACCGTAGTGATTCTTCCAAGTTTGAAAGAAGAAATGCTGGTCTAGACATTATTGCTGTAGAGGTTGCAGGTTTCTGCAAGGTGAGTTGTACACCGTTTGTTTAATTACACTGCAATGGAGAATATCTGCAGAGCGGGAAGCAATCGGAGAGAGTTTATCTGACTGTGGTGGCAATTAAAGAGAAAAGGCATGAGAAGGAATTAAGCAGAAGTCTACTGGAAACCACTGCTTCAGAAAAACAGGAGAGAAAATTTCATGAGTGTGTACTCTAATGAAGCATTGCTTATTTGCATGAAATTAATTGGAAAACAAAGTCTGCTGTTACTGTTTGTTCTGGCAAGCATGAATCTTCCAAGCGTATTGTCTGCATTTCTCCTGCTATCAGCTATGCTCTGTGTCGTAGCGTGAAATACTTATGCACAGCTCCCAGTGCAACAAATAGAATATTGCTCGTTTATTCTGAGCAGGTCAACGTCTGTCCGTCCATCACACATCTTTTTTCTGAATATCTTATCATTTAAATGCAGTCCTGCACATACACCTTATTCTGGTGTTTTCTATATTCTTCTAAAAAGCAAAAAAGTTTTAAAATGTTGGTGTTCCATAAAACTTTATGTTCAAAGACTAAAGAGATTGGAAAGTTTGATGCTGTTAAATGCCTTTGGAGACTGTGTTGGGTTTGTGTGGTGGGGCTGTTTTTTGTAGTGGGAGAAGGAGCTACATTGATGGCCCCTCTGAGAAGCTTCATGAAGCTTCCCTGGCTCCAAGGTGGACTCACCTCCAACCCAGGCTGAGCCACTTAGCAATAGAGAAATACATCTTTGAATCCATATTTATGAGGGAAGAAATGGTTTTGAAAGAAAGGAGGAGAGAACATGGAACAGAGGCCAGTGACCTGAATAAAAGACGGCCATTGGCCTAAACAAAGAGGAGAGCATCGTTGCCGTGAGGAAGGAGGAGGAGGGGGAAGACAGAGAACCTCAAACATCCAGTTCAACCGCATGGAGTAGCAGAAGGCAAAGGAGGTCCCTGCAGCCCATGGAAGTTCAATGGCAGAACAAATACCTATGTGTAGGCCGTGGAGGACTCCATGCTGGAGCAGAAAGCTGGGGAAGAAGGTAGAGAAATCCGGAGCAAAGTAATTTGAGCCCAGGAAGAAGGGAGGGGTGATTTTTCTTCCCCAAGTTGAGTCCGTTTTCCCCATGACCATAATTGGTGAGTGAGCCCTCCCTGTCCTCATTTTGATCCATGGCCCCCTTTGTTGTGTTCCTCTTCCCATCTCATTGGGGCGGGGGGGAGAGGAGGGGGAGTGAGTAATGAGTACAGGGCCTCATGGTCTCACCTGTGGGTGAAACCACCACAAGACTTAATTTGCACTGCAGTTCTCAGGCATCTTCAGTGACACAGCATCCTTCTGCTTCCCTGCTGTGTGGAGCTCTGGGGTTCGACTCACTTGCGTGGTAAAGTGAGCTCACATCTTGGAGGACCCCAGCTTCATATGCTGTGAAATTTAGAAGGTGTATTGCAACTGATGGAGGGAGATCCCAGAAGGAGGTTTGATGGCTCTCGGATGCTGCTTTAAAAATTGGGATCATGTTCCTTCCACTGGTTTGCTCCATTTTGGGTCCAATCTCCAACGCAAAGTGTGTGGTTTGCACAGGCCTTTTGGTCCTTGGTGTCTGAGTACTTGAGGTCTTGCAGTGGTATTGGATGTATACAGCCACCGTAAAAATTAATACTTGAAGTATCGTTAAAAACCCTGCTCGTTAGCGGAAGATACAACCTAAAGCTCCATTTCTTTATACATACATGAAAAAATTTAATAGAATGAAGGTGCTTTTGAGTCCCTACTTAATGATTTCTCTTGCTTGGCCAAGGTGGGCGATGAAGAGCTGCTACTTGTCTTTGCTCAGGAAGAAGGAGCAGTGGGAGCTCTGCATCCTCGGCACCTTGACCAGCACGGTCACGATGGTGGGTGGGCTTGTTTTGATTCCTGCCATTTCCGAAAAACAGGGGAATGCGCTCCCAACATGCCGTCCCAACCACTTGGCCAAAGCCAGACTAGGAAAAGGTGGACAACAGAAAAATATCTGCCTTGGTTTTGCACAGTGTTTTCTGCTGTGTGAAAAGTTGGTGTAAAAAAATCTCACCACGTTTCCCTTAATTTTAAGAATTCAGGGCTTTCTTTTTTGTTGGATTTTTTTAAAAAAAAGAAACCCAACGACTATCCTCAGGAATATTGGCCTTGGCAGTGTTGAAGAACAGGTGATTTTGGCAAGGTGTGCTATGAAGTGAAAGCTCATTCCCTGTGCGGAGACCTCTTGCATGACAAACTGAATTAAACTACCGCAGCCGTCTCGTGCTACAAGGCGTTGGCTGTTTTGCGCTTGCATTGCAGCTGTTTCTTTCTTTGTAGACAGCCCACAGTATGGTGTTGTGTTTACCCCCAGTTTAGTAACCTTTTTCAGTTGGTAGAAAATCTCTCTAGCACGACCTTAAAAATACCCACAATTAATACCTTTGGAAAGGTGACAAGTGGTACATCTTAAATTGTTTTATGTTGCTTTACCTAACGGCTGAAAATACCAATTTAAGCAGTTGCATACTCTTCTAAGACACTTCTCTTTTGCTCCCTAAAAATAATCAGTGCCAAACATTATTTTTCCTGACGCTTATCAAACATTCTGGTCACTGATAAGGTAATATTTTTTTTTTCCACTGCTACGTATTGGTCCGATGAGATAATTATTTTTTATCAGTGCTGCGCATCAGTCTGGCTCCTGCAGGTGTTGTGATCCATCCTCAGTTCTTAGTAATAAGCATTTTTAAGCTCTTATTTCGCCATTTGAACTGTGCTAAAAAGGGGAAAAGGTATTTTTATGGATCAATCAGATGTCTGAAGCTACCCATGGCTACTGAAACATTGCAAGCGCTGGGAAACATCAGCCCGGCAGAGCTGCTGTGGTGTAAGCGAGTCATCTTAACTGCATACGATGCACAGAAATTTGATGCTGTGGCTTAATAGCACTTGAAATTTTGGAATTACATCAAGAAGAGCTGCGGGTTATTTATATCATCCCGCAGAAGAGCAGGGAAGGGCTGGAGACTTCTATATTCACGTTTAACCTTGTCCTTACTCATGCTTTGTTTTACACAGCAGAATGCAAATCTGGCTTTTACTGCATTGATTTAATAGCAGAGTTCTGCTTTTTTTTTTTTTTTTTTTTTTTTCTGGAGGGGAGGTTGTGTATTATTTTTTGTCTGTAACTAGCAAAAAGTAGCTGAAGTCTAAAAAGAAGGATAACACGGGCAGAAGCCAAGCTGGGTCTCGTATTACAGTGGTATGCTTTTGTTACTGCTAACGTGTTTTTGTTTTTCTTCATTACACATATTTCTCTTGGGAAAAGCAGGAAAAATATGTGTGTAAAATAGACATGAGGGCTCCATGCCTCTGCTAAAAGGTTCCAGATGGGAGATGTTACAGTAGAGACACTTTCTCCTGTCTTTCGGTTTGTGGCATTGATTTTGGTGACAAACTGCAGGAAAACTTGTTGAAGCCGAAAACAGTGAACAATTTTTTTTTAGCATTTTGTGGGCTATCCAAACATGCAGTGGGAAGTTGAAGCTTCATTTCTAAACACTTATGGCCCCGTGTTGAATCATTATGATTAAAAAAAAAAAAAAGGAAAAAAAATTCAAGGGATTTTGAGAGACCTTCTCCTGGGGCTGGGGCTGGAGAGTGTCCAGTGGTTTTTCACCAGACCAGATTTCTCCCTAATTTAGAGACTGATGGTTGATGAGGAGGGGATGGAAGCTGGTGAAGGTGCCTCTCCAAGGGGTGAGACTCTTGCCAATGGGCTATGTTTCACTTCTATACCGGGCAGCAGTTCTTGGCTCTTGCTGAGGTTGGCATTGCATTGGAGGTGCTCCTCTTCAAGCAGACCTCCCCAAACTTTGATGACTTGTTTCTAGACCTATCCTCAGGCTGAAGGTCCACAGCTACACCACATGAAGCAAGCAGTGTTGCACCAAGAGTTCCAGCCTGAGTTGAGCCATCAGCAATATCACCAGCCTGTATCACCAGCTCTTTAAACAAGTGAGTCACAGTTCCAACGGGCACTTCTGAGTGCTACTAGAGCCGTCAAAAAGTGAGAACGGAGATAGGAGCTTGTGTATGGCAAAGCATGCTGTTCTACAAGGTTGTCCTAAGGGAATACAGTCTCCTGCATGGATGTTTTTGCATAATGAAATTATATTTAAAAAAAAAACAAACAAACTACTTGGTTTTGGGATGTGTGTTGTACCATTTTGAAGCATTAATGTTTCCAAGACAACATGTTTCTGGCCAAAAAGACCTAAACCATGTTACTTTTGGAAGTATGTGAAGCCATGGGTGAAGACTGCCTTTCTACAGCTGTCTGGAATGCTCAATGCACTAAAAAGCTACAGGAGATCCTTCAGAGACAGTGATTTACCCTGTCTTCTGCAGAGCACTGAAACACATGGATGTTTGTCTTGTTTTGGAAGTGGAGAAGTCATACTTTCTTTAATGGTGGCTTCACAGCAGGTGAGACATGAGTGGTCAACAGCTCTGGAGACTCAAAAGCTTCAACCTTGAGAAAAATTGCAATCTTCCTGCTGCGTATGTTGTCTTATCCTTGGTACAAGGGATGTGAGCTGCTGCATTCTTTATAGTAAGACTTTATTTAAGGTAAAGGAAATCACTGGTGGTCCTGACACACTGTGGGGTTATTTCTAGCAATTACTAAGGAGTTTTAATTGCCCCTTCAGCCATTTGTGATACGTCACTGTACTTAATCCAGCTCTGTAAAAATGGATTATGCAAGGTGGGATATTGTGGTATGACTTGATGGTGTCATATATAACATATTTTAACAAAGCCAACTGCAGGGTCTTGCACCTAGGTTGGGGCAACCCCAAGCACAAACACAGGCTGGACAGAGAAAGGATGGAGAGCAGCCCTGAGGAGAAGGACTTCAGGTGCTGTTGAACGAGAAGCTGAACATGAGCCAGCAATGTGCGCTTGCAGCCCAGAGGCCAATAACCATGTCCTGGGCTG